TTTTTGTAATTGTACTGCTTTTTGTAATTTTATTGTTATTGTTACAGACTGTTTTAGAAGTATTGTATTAATTTTACTGGTTTTATTTGTTGTTAGCCGCCCGGAGCCGCTCCGGCGGGAGTGTGGGATAAAAATCTAATTAATAAAATAAAATAAAGTTTGGTTACAGGTGCCTGCAGTATCAGCAGATTGTTAGCCAAATTGCCTTGAATTATCAATTAGTCTAGGGGAGGTTATGATTATTAATTGGCAATAGGCACATTAGGGTTCACACCAATGTATCCTGAAGTCCCACCTTTGCTGGAAGTACCAGAACAGACACAGAGACTGTATTCAGTAAAATATAATGTCTTTTTACTGGAGGATATGTATCATTCAAACAATACACACACACACACATTTATACTTATACTAAGAAATAAAGATAGATAAGTATCACGTTTGTATGAGCAGGATATTCGTTGGTTGGGAGATATTTACCTGTCCTCATTGATTGAGCTGTTCCAATGGAAGAATGGAGGGGTTTAGAAACAGAAGATGGGGAACACGTGCTCTGAGCCGGCAGAACCACGTGGACTCTAGCCGCAGATTAGAGGTTAAAGATGGAGGTAGGGTATATGGATAGCAAGCTGGACATGAGAGGGTTAAATCTTCGATAGGGGTCGTGGAGAGGGAGACCATGTGGTTGGTCAGCATCCTTTATAACGTGGTGTGGGGGGGCAGGTTAGGCTGGCCACATCCCCCTGTGACACCTTCTCTTAGTCCGTCCCATAAAACAAACTATTGGCTGGCTGGAAGAGGGGCGGGGGACTAAGGAGTGGTCAATATTGAGCTAGAAACTTAGACTGAGGACTGGCACCTGGATGAAGGGTGATTGAATCATCAGGCTAGGGCTGTTGTCTCTTCATGGCCCTAGCCAGCTTGCTGATTGAGCAATTAGGTGCTAAGCGTCTCACAGGAGGCGAGATGGCAGGTGACTCTGGATCATCACTGGAGCGGCGACGCTAAAGGAAGGTGTCCCTCTTTCAGGTGTGCAGTCTCAACAGGTAGTCCCAGGTCTCCATGTTGTGCAGTCCCTTTGCACAGTCCATACAGTTCATAAAAACACATTGATAGGCTTGCATGGCAACAAGGCAAGGTTACCAGGTCCTCCCTGAGCACCAGTGGGGGGGGGG